ATACCTGGAAAAAAACTGCAGAATATTATTTGCTTTCTAGAAAAATCACTGAATTTTAGAATTTGGGAAGATTGGATTTTTTTTTTTAGAGAATTCCAGTGTCAAAAGGATGGTATGGGTAGTAACCCACAGTATGTAACGTTACTCAGCCAAACCTAATAGCTGTCATTAATTAAATACGTCTCTGAGAACTTCATGTAGGTTTAGCCTTTACTGATTTTTTTTTTGATAATACGGAAATCTGTTAATAAGTAATATTATTAAGATCATTAATTTAGGATAATTTGATAGGGATATAACTATGTTCCATACATTTGGCAAATAGAAAACAGAGAAAATTATTTGTATCATTTTAAGACATAGAAAGCAAGCTCCTGGAAAGCTTTGTGCTGGAATCACTGTGTTCGATAAAAGCTGAAAAATGAAACAAAGTAAATATATGTTGCTTACATTTTTAGTTGGCTCTGAATGAGGCTGCATTACAAGTGCATTGAGGGATACCGTGGAAATACAAAATAATCTGGAGGGTAATGGACAGTTCTAAATGGGGTTTAAATTTAGATAAACATCATATAATGCATTCCAGACACATGACGTTATATACGAGCATTGTTGCTGCATTTTTTCTGCAGAATGCTAATGTTGTTTAAGCTCTTCAGCCCTCAGTACTCCTCCTTCAAGTCACTTTTCAGACGTAAGTAGATGACAATCTCATTGTAGTATTGCTGGAAGAGGAGACTGCCTGTGAGAAGCCCCTGACTGTGTTTATAATCTCTTGAGTGTAGCTCAGATGATGTCTACGTTTACCTACCCAACCAACACAGAAGAAAAAGATACTGGTAGTGGTATGAACTGTCCCACAGTCTAGAACACTTAGGCTTCTTTCAAAATCAGACTCTCCTATGAGTCCAAATACAATTTCTAACAATAGCAAAGTTTTTCAGTTAGCCATTGATCTTCCAGCCCTCACTCACTGATGGCAAAGACTGGTGCACATAGGGATTCCGTATGTGGTCACCTGGTACCAACACTCTGCATGAGCTATAGCTGTGGTTTCCTTTTTAATGTAAGTACAGTTTGATTCCTGCCACAGATAAAACTTAATTTTGTCCCTGACTTGATTGCATTTGCCACCACTGTGGACTCATTAGTTAAACGGTAGATTGTTTCTCTAAATATGAATTGATTTTATTTTCAGTACTTTAATTTTGTACTGGTTTGAAAGCTTTCAAGCACATTTGATTTGTGATATTTGAGAATTTGATTGTGAATTTGAGATATTACAGGGAATTTTAATGGTAGGATAATACTTTCAAGTAGATACACAGGTAAAAACAAATGGCAGTTCAGAAGTTAGTATTACTTGTTACAGTTGCTGAGAATGAATTTTTACAAAGAACTGCCTGTTCACTTAAAAGAAAAATTATTAAAGGTCCTTTGCTGTGGGTTAGAACCTGAAAGCATAGTTGCAAAGCAGGTCACTCATTATTTTCCTGTGCTGTTTTGCAGTCTCTGGATTGCTGCCTAATTCCCTGCATAGTTTCTATTTTGTTGCTGAAACTTCAGATTGACCCTTCCTGGAGAATGTGTGGAAGAGCATGCAAAGCCTACAGCAGTCTATTTCTTGGCTGAGGGAGAGGAAAGGAGACATTTTTTTGAGTTTTGTCTTTTAAAAGTTCTCATAAAGATTTTTTTGTCATGGCAAAAGATGTAGAGCTCTCTGGGGAAAAAAAAACCCAAACAATTCTCAAGTAGATGATGGTCATTCAAATGTGAGTCATTTTGGCTTGGTATATCATAGACTTCAATTTCCATAAATAATTACTACTAATAAACAAAACTTCAAGACTTTACAGTGACAAAATTACTCCAGGAACAAAAGGTAAGGAAGACTTTCTCAAACTGTGTAAAGTGTAAATGGAGGACACAGATTATATTTCAGTGGGGCTACCCTGCTTTGATAGCTCTCCCTTATAAACGTTGTCGTTCAAGACCAACATATTTCTCCATAGTCTGACAATAACACTCTGATAGCATGGGGGTCAGTGCAAGGCAGAATAAACAAATACAAACAAAATGTAGTGCCAAGCAGCAGTAACTGTAAGCAGGTAATTTGGAAAACAGACAAATCAAGTGTAGAAGTCAGAATAAAAAAAATGGAACTTAAATAGCAACAGAAAAATTTGAGCCTGACACTTATCAGTAAGTGTGTCGGAATATACAGTCACAAATGGAGATAGCAAAGCACAGGTTGCTGAAGTTAGCCATGTTAGTTAGCCAATGCCAAGGTGATAAATAGCACATCATGGGAATAACGAGGAGCCCACGTTCAGGGGCAGAGCACAGCGCTTCTGTTCTGTACAGGAGCACCAGCCCTGCTGGTTTCTCCTGTTCTTTTCACGTTTGCCGTATGTCATCAGCGATGCTTGCTGAAGAGGCCGTCAAGGAAATGTCTTGAGCACAGCCACGTGCACGCACTTGTGTCTGGCTGGTCGAAGGCGGCGCAGGGGCACAAACACCCTCCTTGTGCCTTCCCCTGCTGCGCCTCGTTAGCTCCTCTCGCCGCGTCGCCTCTCAGCGACAGCGCAGCACTAAGGCTCTGCCCAAGTGTGTCACTGAGACATGCCTTGGCAGCGTTCGCGTCTGAACAGTCACTCCTGTTCTGGTCTGCTGGAACTCCTGATGTGAGTACAAAAGGGGCAGAATAGCAGGAAGTGCGAGTTTAAAAAAAAAAAAAAAAAAAAGGTGTGAGATAAGGCAGGCAAGGAAAGCAGTGCTCATTTACTTTCTGTTCCATTGGCTTCTTCCTGCGGTGACTTGCTTCTGCCCAGCTTCACGTGACAAAGTTTCACTAGCTTATTATTCCTGTCACCATTTAATTCCTTAACTGATTGACACTGTATGTTTGGACAGGATGTGTGATTTGCTTCTCGGGTATAAGAATGTAGAAATTTCACAGGCATCAATAAAGAACTGTACTGTCCTGGTGCTGGTCATTTAGTATATTAGCTTTTAAAATGTCTATTGTAGCTGTGGCAATAGTATTAGACTATTTTTATATGGGAATAGTCTGGTTGTTCTATTATCACAAAAGGATGATCAGTGTCTAGTTTATCTATGTGCAGACTACATTATTGTCTCACAAAACAATGTCCCAGTGCTAGGATTGCTTCATTAAGTTTATGCTACGTAGACATAATTATGCAGGAGCTAAGAATAGCTCATCTAATTGAAAATAATGATTATAGAGAAAGAACGGGTTTGATTACTGTTACTGAGCAAGCACATAGCGTACAACCATTCATGAACTGCACGGAACACATGAGGGATTATACGGTGTATTTGTTTTGATTAACAGTTTCTTTCACCCGTCCCGAGTACAAGTCGAAGGTGTTACTGCCGATTTGTTCATTGTCTTTTTTTCTCAGAGACCTAAAGGGACCCGTGAGAAGTCAGCATGAGCTGATATTTATCCAGAAAATTAAGACAAACTGAGCTATGAAATAACATTCAGCATTTATCCCTGCACGCATTTTAGGGAGGATGTAACTTAAATAAATCTTCTCCAGGCACCGCAAATGAAACTGTCTATGTGGGTTTTTTATGTCTGTGTTTATACTGGTGCCCTACGGGATTAAACATCCTTTTAGAAATGCAAAGTCTGCCATACTGTTAATCTCTTGGTGCTCATTCTCATTAATGCTAACATTTAATTCATGCTTTGTCTAAAACACGTAGAACTTCTTTATTCTTTGAAAATAAAACTGAATTTTTACTGCAAAGTTGTTGAAAGTTTTAATTTATTTGTTTGCTGTTGATTAGTATCACCAAGCACATGGGTTGAAAGTTGCTGCTGCTATTGTCCTCTTAACTAATTCTTGTCTTACTTAAGTGTCAGTTTTCTACTAAATGTTACGAGAAAATTACTAAGATCATTAAATTTAATATATCTGGTTTAGAAATGTTATTAATATCTCTAGAGGCTCAAAAAACTCTGCCAGTTTGCCATGTTTAGCTTTCCGTCCATTCTAATGAACCATTTCACAGCTCCAGGCTATGTGCTAATGCTGTGGAAGCACAGAGAGATCACTGCCATCAGGAATTTATAAACAGATGACTGTTTAAAAAATGAAGTGAGGAAGGAAGATGGGACAAACAGTGATGCAATCTTGCAGTAACACAAGTATCAATTTATACAGACTGGAATCAGAGGCAGTTGCACAAGCTCTTCTTGAGGCTTTTTAAGAAATAGCCCAAGGAAAAAAGTGGAAGCAGAAGGCAGATTACTTTATGAAAGTATTCCAAACTCTTGTCTTGACTTCAGAAAAGTTACCTTGTTTGGGATTTGAAATTCAGAGAGTTACAAGAATTTAAAACTGTTAAGTCTCCGTTTATACAAAAGTCTGTTGAAGCATCAAGCACATTTTCCATACCATTCTTTTTCAACATGATCTGATTGTGGAAGACATTTCTCGATTTTTTGGGCCAACGTACCTCAGTTTTACCCTTCAAAAAATTTTACATGGCACTGAGCATTAAGCATTAATTTTGAACTGTGGTAATCATATTTCACAGTCCCCTTGAACACTGTGTATCCTAGTCTCACAGACCTCTGTTTAGGAGTCAGTATGGTGGCCCAGTCTGACTTTCTGTACACTTCTGCACACATTCCAGTAATGTGTATTAAAATAATAATCCCAGGTGTCAATTAGATACTATTTTTTTTCTACTTAGAAATTTTTATTAGAAGTTTGGGCTATAAATTGTGTACCTACAAGTAAATGTGATACAAGGATGAGCAGGACTGAAGAACTGAGAAGAATAATGTGTTGGTTCTGAAATACTTTGACTAATTTGCATTTACTCACAGCAAGTGTGCATAAGAGTGCACTGTACAGTATAGTGTATGGTAGCTGAGGACAGTAGTCTTTTGCTCTCGTATTATTGATGCAACTCATGAAAGACTCCTCTGCATATAAACTGTTTTCTACTCTCTACAGAACTGCACATGCAAGAGCTAAAGCTGATGCTGCGGATCAGGCTGCTCAGGCTGCTCGCCAGGAATGTGATATTGCAAGAGCAGTTGCCAGAGAACTTTCACCAAATTTCTACCAACCAGGTAATAATGCACTGGGAGCTTTGTGGCTATTTTTTTTTCTTGCACTGAAAGGATTCTGTGTTAAATTTAAAAGTTGATTTCATTTTGAATGTTGTCATTCATGCAGAAACAATATGAAGAGTGTACATTGCTCAAGCAGATTTTGTTTCCATTTTTTAATCATTTGGTGACTATTGCTTTGTATAAAAACAGTTGAGTGTTGACAAGTCAGTATCAAGCATACAACTTTGCCTCAAATTAATAGCTTCTTCAGGGCGGTATCAAAGACAGACTTCGGAGAACTTAAATCAACAGAAATTTGGATTATTTCTATACTGTGTTTATTAGGAGAAAGATCCTTAGCTTTTTTACTAACCAAGAGATTTCTTGGCAGTCTTGGTTAGCTGAGGCCTGAGTTCTGGAGAATGCTTTACCATTACACTCGCATAACCTGTGAGGGAATCTTCCTCTGTTATGCCTGTGGTGCTCTGTGGAACATTAGTCTCATTCTCAAGATATCGTAGAATAAAGTCTATGTCACCTGTATCAACATTGCAACCCATTTTCACCTGTCACATGGTTTGGAAAGTTGCTATAAAAAGCAGTAAAGTGGTTTATGCTTTGTTTTTCTGATGTCTTTGCATGAGATTAATATTTAATATGTACTGTTCTTTAGCTTAAGATTGCATAGATAAAACGGAACTCCACTTGCCAATTTAATGTATTTTCCTAAGTCTGTCCTTTCTTTTACCTGTCAAATGAATTGAGTCGTATCTTGTTGTTACTTTTCAAGGACTTGCCTGCACTTGTATGCTAATGTAGATTATAGCTCTGAGATTCATTTTCACTTACCTTCGTCTTCTGCACATCCTCGTTTCAGCCACAAATCCTTTTATCCTTAAACGTACTCATATGGTGGATGCAGGCTAATGTCATGACCTGCAAAATCAAAGAACAACAGCATTCCTCAACATTTTCTAAGAATCCACCTATTTCCTATTATCTTTTAGTATAAATGACTACTCTCTAACTTGTTAGTAAATCATAAGCCAGTTAGCCTTAAAGAATGCGTTTTTTTCTTTATTTCTAAGTATTTAGTTGTAGAGAGCAATCTGTGTATTTTGGGGTTGGAAGGGTTGGGACACTCTTTTTTATTTATTTAGTGGGTAAGTCAAGGGCTGGTCACCTCATGCAGGTTAGAATCTCCATTCTCCTTATCAGTCTTGCAACCTTTCTTTGTACCCATCCTGATTTAAATTCATTTTTCTCGAATATGGCTGTCCAGAACTGTAGGTAAAGCTCAACAGAACTATTTCCAGTAGTAAGACTTTACCAGCTCTAAAATGGTATCAATATGTACCTTTTACTGTTGGAAATTACCTCGATGCAACCTCTCCTGTGGACTGACATTAGTGACGCACACTTACTCCAATGATACCGAAGACTTTCTGTTTTCATTATTTCATTCTTCCATCAACTGATGAACTCCCAGTTTAGAGCAGCAGTTAATCTTATCAGCCATAAGTTAAGAAGCCATAAGCTTAGCCATGAAAAGAACTAGTAACAGGGACCCTGTCAAAGGAAGGCTCGATAGAGAATAGAAGTAAGAGGGAATTAAAGTATTCAGAATGATAGTATTTGAAAGCTGCCAAACTCTTGAAATAAAGAAATGGCTAGAGTACCCGAGAGAAAATGGAAACATCTGATGATGTGAAATTTGACACCAAGAAATCCCCCAGATCAGGAATTTGTTAGGTGTCTTTTTTTGCAGCCTGCCACAGGATATGAAGTAGTATTGCTGACAAATTGGCTGAGATTTTGAGAGAGGAGGTGCGGGATTCTTGTTTTCCTTTCATTTAAAACTTTTATTCCAATTACAGAAGGGAAGAGTTTGCATGCTTTTCTCAAATCCAGCTGTGTACGTGCACAGTGATGTAACAAAACATTTCTCAAAGTCTTACTCTGTTCTTTGTGCGGAAGTGACTATCAGTTAGCTAGCTACCTATCAAAAGATAGACACCTCTTTTGGAGTCTAAATTTTAAATTCCTTCATTATTTTCAAGATGACCAAATACAGCATATTTGTACACATTTGAAAAAATTTGCTATTCCTATTGCTTAAGTAACTTGAAGATGCCAAGATGTTAACTGAATTTCAGTTATCCCAAATAAGCTGCAGAAAAACACCAGATTCATACATCATAGAATCATAGAATGGTTAGGGT